AAAACCAATGTCAGATGATATAATGATCATCTTCACAATGGATCTAATAATTTTCTTTGTTTTTCTCTTTTTGAGTTCTCTATTCAAAACTAAGGATGAAACTTAAGACTTACATAAAAGCAAGCTAATAAAATTCAAAACACTTTAGCTCAAGTGGGCAGCTCTTTCATTGTCCCCTTCCAAAGAAAAAAATTTAGAATAGCTAGAGAAAATGATGGACTGCTGGATTTTAGAAAGCTCTTTTACAAGACTTCTCCAAATCCTACTATGATTAAAAAGGAAAAAGTTTATTTTCATTTCCTATAAGAGCTAGAGTACAGACAAATTATTGTCAATAATTTCCCATCCAGTTGCTTCAGCAATGCATTGGTTAGAGTGAATTCATTAATTGCTTTCCTACCTATTAGGAAGGAAATGGTTAGTATTAGAAAGCTAGCCCCTAAGAATATTTAGATAATTAAATTGTGACTACTATACAGACAGAATTTAAGGGATGGTAGAGGAAACAAAGGAGGAGGCAACAATGCTTGATAAGAAATGTACCCACTATCTCACCCATGTAATTGTAACCCCTCTGCATGGTATTTTCACAATAATAATATAAAAAAGATAAAATTTAAGTTGAAAAAAGTATATGTCATCTAACAACAAATCAACCTCCTTCAAAATAAGATGTAAAGAAGTCAAAGAGAATGACATTTGGAAACTCACAAGATGTCATATGGATGTATGTGTGTGTATGTGTACGTACATATATAATATCAATGACATTAAATGACTACATACATACAGCCATTTAATCAGAAAAAACAAGAGGCTATTATTGATTATATTTTTAATTTAAGGAAAGATACTTTACTGTGTAATTTACATTGTCAATGCTTAAAATCAAAATTTATAAGTGAGACATAAAACAACTTACTATAAAAATTAAGATGCATGTGAAAGTGAATTAATTTACTACTAGTAAGAATGTTAATAAATTCTGGAGGCATAACTCAAGAGAGTGTGAACTATACCAAAGCAGAGCAATGACTCCCCGCACACCAACCCAACCCTTAAGTCAGACAGTGCTGAGTGTTGGTCCTACAAATCTCAGTTGCCTACTCATTCCCTACAGATAAAAATATGAAGGACCATAAGATTCGTTTTTCCACACAGCATTTCAACCACATTTATATGCCAAACTGATGGTAATTCAGCAGCTAGCAATACCAACTAGGTTTTTCCTACCTAATTTTGCAGACAGGTACTTAATCTCCAAATCATGGATAGTACATCAGTTTTTTCAAGTTTATGTTCCATAATTTAAGGAAGAATTGAAGACTTCCCAGTTAGCAGTACCAGGAAGAAACTACTCCAAAAATAATTTTTTAAGAATTTTATATTTTGTATCTATTTGTCCTCTACTTTCTCAGAATATTTTACAGTTTATTCTGTGCTTATTAGATAACTCAGTCATTTCAAAAAGCCTGTGGGTTATATATTAGCTTTGTTTTCAGAGAAGGAAATGGAAATACAAATATATGAAGGCCACTTAGTTACTCTGTGGTAGATATGTCCATTGTACCCAGACAAGTGGACTCTAGGTGCTGCCATCACCTAGCTGTCTCTTGAGTGGTCTTCAGTAACCCATTCCTGTCCGTAAGTAGTTCCAATAATCATCACCAGCCATCTTTCAAAAGTAAGAAAATGAAAGTTGCAAGGGATAATTTGTTCCAGATCCAAATTGATTGTGGGAAACTGGAATTTAAACTATTATTTTGTCTCTTTTCCCAAGTGTTTTACTACTCTAATACTATAGTGTGACAAACATGACTACACTTCCACGTTGACCAATGTATATTCAGTTATTTTTCACATATAAGTACATCAGCCTAGAATGTCAAAAACAACATTAAAAACAATGGCCATGACAATGAATGAATCTTGGTTTTCTGCAACTTCCATTTTCTTAGGAAAATATTGTATCAACATATATTAACATAAAGTAATAAATCAATCTTTTCATAATTAAAATTATTTTTATACAATGTTCTTCATTTTATATTTTTAAACTTTGTTTCTCCATTTTTCCATTTACAACCTAGTCTACTAATAGTTGGTGTACTATTTTTGTTTTGCTGAAAGAATTTCAGGATTTATCAGTTTTATAACTATTCTGTCATTTATTATTGCTTTTATTTTTCTTAATATTTTCCACTCAAAATGTTCTCAATTTAAAAGCTCATGCTTCTTGCTAATGTGAGCCATCTTAAAATATTTCTTCCCATTCATCATTATCTCTTCCTCCTCTCTCTGTTACCAAAGCCTACACACATTGACCTGCCAGCTCTCTTAATACAACAAAATAATTTTTGTCTTCAGCCCTTACAATCTACTCTCGAGAGTCCTGTTTTAGTGGTCACTTCTCTTTCAGTATACAGTTTTTCTTTCCGATGCTGTTGGGACCCTTCTTTGAACTCTCCCTCCTCATCCAGCACATTCCAGGAACTTTCTCTATTTCCTTATAGTAACTAACTATCACCATTCAATAATGTTTTATTTTGTTAGGTTACATATTTGTCAGCCTTCCTGAAACAAATGTTATAATTGAAAGAATTTGTACTTTGTTTCTTGCAGATTGCCAGTACCCGAAACCATGGCTACTGCTTACAAGTTGATTAATTTCTTCCTGGTAATAATAACTATTTAATCAAGGATTTCTTTAATTTCCAAGTTATTTCTACATTTTACTCATAATTTTATTACTTTAAAAACTTAAAAGTTATTTTAAGAAATATTAAATGTAACTTAATAACCAAATATGATCTTAGGGTTTCTTTGAATTTTCAAAGTTAACTATTTTACAATCAGTAAACATATATAGAGCATCAATATATATTGATATTTAGTATTGATAAAAACTAATGCTGCATCTGGGAAGGGATATGGAAAGATTGATCAATGGGTATAAGTTACAGTAAGGCAAGAGCAAGAAGTTCTGGTATAGTATACTATGACATGATAGGGTAAATATAGGTAACAATATAGTTAAAAGAGCTAGAAGTATAATTCAAAGAGCTACAAGGAAGGAAAGCTTTATACCACAAGAAGTAGAAAATGTCTAGATATGTATTCAAATGTTTACTTTCATGCGATTGTTTCTAACACACTTATAAGATTATTTCTTTGTTGCTTTGTATGTCCCTCCCCCACAGTATAACCCTGCTTTCATTCATGTCGGTATAATTTGTGGAGCGGAAGGGGAAAAACAAATCGTTTAAATAGGGATACAGGTGGACTCATTGCAGCAATGAGATGTACAAGTCGTTATAGCGAAAACGAACTTTACAACTTTGGTGTGTGTGGGGGGGGGAGGGTGGAAAGGGAGAGGGGGAGGATTGGGTGGGGGGACAGGTGGGGGGACAGGGGGAGAATGGGAAGGATGGGAAGGGGAAACAAAGGAGGAGACTACAATGCTTGATAAGAAATGCACTCATTATCTTGCCCATGTAATTGTAACCCCTCTGTACAGTATATTCACAATAAAAAATAAAATAAAGGATAGGTTTAACATGGTTTAAATATTACCCAGTGCCTTTAGGTATATTATATAGATACCATTATATATGTATATGTACATATGTATTAATACATTACACCTTCTCTCATTAGTATGTATTGTGATGTTTTTATAAATCACTTAACATTTTAAAATTCTGATTTAATTAAGACAGGCTCCAGTGGCTCACACCTGTAATCTAGCTACTCAGGAGGCTGAGATCTGAGGATCACGGTTCAAATCCAGCCTGGGCAGGAAAGTCTGTGAGACTTTTATCTCCAATAAACCACTCAGAAAACCAGAAGTGGCACTGTGGTTCAAGTGGGAGAGCACTAGCCTTGAGCTGAAGAGCTGAGGGACAGAGCCCAGGCCCAGAGTTCAAGCCCCACAACGAACAAAAAAAAAAAGTTTTATCTGTACTTCCTTTTCTAAGACAGCTCTTTAGTATGCTAGTCCAATATTAAAATAGTAGTATACATTTGTGACGTTTGTGCTTTCTCACTAAACAATGTTCTATGTGTTTTCAACTTTCAATCTAGAAGAGACCTAAATTTGGTTTACAAATGCAATTGTCAAACAGGCTAAGAGGAAAAATCCTGGGACTAGGAGGCAACCCTTAAAGTAACATTTTCCTGTACCCATTAATTTTCTGTGTTTATTGAGATAATTGAAGTTAGGGCCAACTTTATCCTCTCTCTACTCTTGTATCATAATATGGCCAAGTTCAGACTTCTTTATTGTATTTTTGTCTACTCAACTAGAGAATAATGAAACATTCAATTGTAAGCAGAGGTATCTGGATTCCTCAAACTCACAAAAGACCAAACCACAGAGAAGCACTTTATCTCTCCAGTTTTCTGAATCCTAACCACAACCAACCTCTTTTGACAGATCTTAGAAGGAAAAAGTCAAAACACTTCCATGCATTTTAGCCACTGGGCCTCCTAGAAACAGCCCTCAAATAGAAGTATGTGTTATGCTTCTTAAAGTATCTATTATTTTCCAAGCTTTTTCACTAAGAACCAGAGCTCAATGTCATTCATCAATCTGATGTACCTAGCCATTTCAATCACCATTTTTCACTATATTCAAGTTCTGTGGTTGAATCATACCAAGCTGGAATATATTTTCCTCAGGTTTGTTGTATTTATTTAATTCCATTTTTGTGGTAGGTTTAGGAGTTCAGTTGTAATGCTATCATCTTGAGCTTAGTCTTCTTATCTTTCAAGAAAAATAGGCAAGTAGAGCTGGGACGTGGCTCAGTGGCACAGCACTTGTTATTAAGTAAGACATCCTGGGTTTGATCCCCAGCAGAAAAAGAAAAGGCAAAATTTTTTTTTAAAAATCCATACAAAAGTAGGCCAGTAATATTCTGGCATTTGCTTTCTATAGAGAATTGACAAGCATGATTCTTACTGATAAATGTACCAATTTATTGATTAATGTCTCAACTCACCTGGGCTACTGTTATTGCACTTTGGATCCGTGTATCTTTTTCATTTTCCTTTGTTTTTTGTAATATTTCCCATATCACATTTCTAAATCCATCCTGTTCCTCATCACCCCGAAGTTCCCAGGACATTTTCACCATATTATACACTAAGCCATAGTATCCAATCCAGACTACTTGATCACCTGCATAAAAAGGAACAGTCATCATCTTATTACCAAAATCCATAATAATATTTAAAATATGAAATTCTAGCATGTGAACTATGTGCCCATTTAATTCCTTGATTTGAGAAGATTATCTGGACATTGTTTACCGTATGAAAAAACAACCTGCTCCTAATACACCTCTTAAACTTACATGAATGGTTAAGCCATAAAGCACACTACAAAAGCAAATTAGTATTTATGCAAAGAGGAATTTGTTTGAATTAATATCAACACTTAGATTACAATTATGATTTTCTAAATAAGAGATATAAGAGAAAAATCATTAGCTACTACTTAAAACATAGTCCATCAACTATTAAAAAAAACTTGTAAATAATGTAAAAGGCAGGCAAAAAAAAAACTTTTACAAAATTATGAACTACACATTTTAGTTTAATAGTAAGGACATGAAACAAATATAAAAATAGTAATTAATAAAAAGGTGATTAAAATCTAATTCATTTTTCCTCAGAAAGTAATATAGAAATTAGCAATTTAAATATACAGCACCAAACTTACTTTTAAAGATCTATTTCCCTTACAGAAAAGAGGAAGCAATTTCCCCTCTATTTTTAACCTAACTATGGCATATTTCTATGTAATCATTTTCAGGAAAGTTTAATTCTGATTTATGATTAGGTAAAATAAATTTGAGAGATAAAATAATACAGTCCTCAAAGGAAAGATAAATTCATCCAAGATCAATATGAAAACATTGGCCCTATAAGAAACTGCTAAGAACAATAAGAGGAAAAAAGGCTCAAAAAGAAATATAGAAGTGTTCCAAAGTTTATCAAATTCTACATTTCACTTTTTCTCACCACCCTAGTGCTAACTCATATAACAGTAGAAATCAACAATGCTCTTGTGGAATAAAGACACAATCACTGCTTTATATTATTAACATACATATATACTGAATGTTGATGGATCCCATTTTGTGAAACAAACACTATAAAACATAAAGACACAGATAGACACACAGTAGTATTGACTTTAGTACTCCACTGTCACCAAACACTAGACCATCTACACAAAAAAAAAAGAAAAAAATCAAGAAGGAAACTTCAGAATTAGACACTTTATACAACAAATGAACATAGCATGCCCTTACCAAATATTCTGATCCAATGTCTGCAAAATATACATTCTTCTCAACAGACCACGAAAATTTCTAAGTATGGCAAAGGCTAAAAGATTTTACTTTGGCATTTGATCTTAGACTCTTATTCCCACATGAGCCACAGGATTGTCCCAGCTTTTATAGTATTAGGAAAACTACAATGTTCAGGTTTCAGGTTGCTCAGAAATCTATTTCTTGCATTACCATTTTTAAATATTTCTACTTCTGTTTCCCTGTGTGCAAAGTATTTTAATTAGAAGAGACTTACTGCTCATGAGTCACCATAGGCCTTGAAAACCATACAGTAACAAGTTCATTTCAAATCCATCATTATAATTTTTGACTTTTTTTTTTTGTCTGTCGTGAGGCCTGAACTCTGGGCCTGAGCACTGTCCCTCAACATTTCAGCTCAAGGCTTGCACCCTACCACTTAAGCCACAGCACCACTTCTCATTTATAATTTTTGAGAAAGCTGTGTGTTGTCTTGAGAATTATCCATGTTTTCGTAAAACTCAACCTGTGTTTCTCAAGTGTCCATTTTTGCAAAATCTGTTGCCTTTCAGGAAATATTTACTTTCTGTTTGAATTTTTTACTGTATCTCTCTTCAGTTCTCCCTTTTCATATAGGATAAATAAACTTTGGAGTTTGGAATGAATTTATATCATTCTGCTTGTTTGTGAATATGTAGAAACCCCATCCTTCTCTTTTTGCCCCTAGCCTATACCAGAAGATAGAGTAATAGCAATTTGGTATAAATGATCTGGAGTGCCATTTGGGAAAAAAAGCTGCGACTGCCTCAAGATACTAAATGGAACTGCCAAGCTCCAACACCTTGGAATGTAATGTCATTTGGAAAAAAAGAGTATTGGAGATGTAATTTACTAAGAATCATACTGGAGCACATGGGATCCTGAGGAGGGCTATACTCATTAAATGGAAAATGTGGAAGTATCCATGAGAGACTACCATGTGAAGATGAAGGCAGAGTTTGCAAGCCAAGGAATACTGAAGGACAGAAACTACCAGAAGCTAAGAGAAGGCATGGAACAGGATTTATAGCAAAACTCAGAAGGAACCCTCTCTTACAACAACTTGATTTTGAACTTCTAGCCTCCAAGACTGTGAAATAATAAATGTATCTCCCTAACAGCAACAAAATTTGTCATTTCAGAATATTGGTTGGTCAATTCTTGCTAAGAACCAGGTAAACTCTACTTATTCTACTTGATCTCCTTTAACTGGAAATAATAAAGGGCTTTTGTGGCAAAGATTGCAGTTCAAAGCCAGCCCAAGCTGCAAATCCCTAAGACTCTATCTCCCAACTAACCTGCAAAGAACCAGTCTGGAAGCATGGCTCAAGACTCTTATCTTGAACCAGCCAAACACTGGAAGTGGTATTGTAACTCAATGTGGTAGAGCACTAGCCTTGAGCAGAAATGTTCAGGAACAGTGCCCAGGACTTGAGTTCAAACTGGGACAAGCCATCCCAGCAATGAGCACCTAGACTCAGCCAGTCTGGAGAACAAGGGAACATGGAGAGGAGTAAGAGGAGATGACGTCACATCAGCAACTTTGCACCTGCCCTTTCAAAATTAACCAAAGCCAGGAGGTCAATAGAAGTAAGAAGCCTGCCCATCTACTGTCCTTACCTGTCTACCTATTAACTGGACAGCAATTTATATTCTTGCCTTTGTTACCTGACTTCTCCTCTATCTAGTTGCCAGACATCAGAAGTAGCTAGGGACATTTCTACCAACATTTTCAGCCCCAAATCCTTCCTCTTGTCATTTATTTGCTCTCTAGTATTTTTTTTCAGTCCCTCAATGCCACATGAGACTTCTCCAGACTTTATCCAAGAGACCTGCCTCCTCCAGAATTCATCTAAGGATTCACACCTACCAAATGCTGCTTTCTCCCAGAGGGGACCACATCTCAGCCTTTTACCCCTACTGTCGATGTCCCTTGCCAGCAGGAAGTAGCCAGAGAGAATCTTCACCCTTTTTCATAATTATCAAAAGGCTGGAATGTAAGGTGTGCACAGGGACACCTCCCTCCCTCTTGGCTAAGTTTCTGCCCAGTATCTGTTACCTAGGTAACTGGCACACCTGGAAGCAGTCACCTTCCCCTCCTGCTAGGTCACATCCTGGGCCACCTCTGATCACATGCCTCCTATGTGACCTTAGGAGGGTCCCAGACCCTGAGGTCACATCCAGATCCAGTGTGGCCACGCCTTTCCCCCACCTGGTCACACCTCTTCCTGTCCCTGGCCTAGATAAGTTCTGGTCCAGAGGTGGGGCACCCCTCTTCCTCCCCCCCCCTTTCCTTTTCAGCCATGCTTCTCCACCATGCATGGCAGGAGTAGCAGTTTGGTAAACAAACTTCTTTTCCTGCCTGAAAAGAAAAGAAAAGAAAAGAAAAAAATTGTCAGGAAGGATTATATAGAATTAAAATGCTTCTGTACATAGAAGAAAAAAAATTACCAAAATGAAGAGATAACCTATAGAATGGAAAAAATAACCTTTACCAGGCACTCATCAGACAAAAGTTTTTTATACAGAATATAGAAGGAACACAAGAATTAATTACCAACAGAACAAATAAATAATAAATGGGAAAAATGAATTGAAGAGAATTTTCAAAAGAAGTACAAATTGCTAAATACATGAGAAAATGCTCAACATCCTTAGCCATAAAGGAAATACAAATTCAATACTCCATCTTTATGTCATTTTAGAAAAAGAAGCAGAAGGAATAAATATGATCAATGTACATTATATAAATGTAAAGGCATATCACAATGAAAAGCTTTTGTGTACCTAATATAAGCTGATAAAAAGCTAAATATGAAAAGTTAGTTTTTCCAGCTTTCCATCATTTGATCTTCTTATAATGCAAGTCAATAAATAGGGTACATAAGAACATCTTTTATGTTTCCTAAAACTAGACCTCACCACAGTCCTGCTGTGTAGACTGTCAAGTGAAGATGAAGGCAGAGTCTGCAAGTCAAGGAATGACAAAGAAGTCCAGAAAATCTCCAGAAGCTAAAAGAAGGCAATGAGTAGATTTTTTCCTAACAAATTTTAGAATGAACCTACCTTTTCAACCACTTGATTTTGGACTTCTTGCCTCTAAGATAATCAGTGTATCTCCTTAAAGCAAAATGGCACAAAGGATTGCATTGATACCATTACCACAGTACCCACAATGCACATGTGAATTTTATATATGGATATGTATAAGTATATTATATATACTTATTATATACATTGAATAAGGAAAGCAGGTAATGTGAAGAACTATCTCAATTTGCTTGTATCTGAATAGTGTCTTAAAGCACAAAACTTTCAAGGAAAAGAAAAACAGAATAGTGCTAAGCATATCAGGATATCTAGAAAAAATAATAGGACTCCTAGCAGAGGGATAGGAGAAAGGAGAGAGGATAATAAAGATCTCAACTTAAAATGAGGTACAGAGTTCATGTTAAAATGGGATAGTAAAAAAAACTAGCAATAAATAGGGTTAGACTAAATTGTAGCTGTTTGAACAAAGGCATAATGTCTATTCGGTATAATATTATGTCTATTCTGGAAATAAACAGGGAAGCCTAGATGGACATTTTATGAGACAGTATAGGTCTTTACTATGATGGGCAGCAGGAGATTGGAGGGGAAGGGACAAACCTAAGTTGCCATGAAGATCTAATAAGTCTTCTCAGCTCCAAAGGAGAAGGGAAGGAACAGCCATAAAGGACGTTTTGAACAATATTGAAACGACTTGCAAAAAATGAGATTATGTCAAGGAAGTTGTTTTGGAGAAAGTAGGCAAATATTAGCTGTAAAAAACAGAATGATA